AAGGAGGGTCGGATGTGGAAGCGTTGTTTAACGCCATACATCCATCTGAGAAGTCATATTTTTATACAGTTTCGGTTTTGTTAGTCCATCGAGGGTAATCAAACATTACGCTCTGTGCAGGAGTATTCGTCTTACTGTAGTTAGACTGCCGCGTTCCCTTTTTACTGTGTATCTTCTATCGCGCCGTACACCGACTTTCTCTTTATATCGAAGCCGTGTTATTTTGACAGTGATTTCTTAGTGTACTTTCGATTTCCCTATTGTCTTGAAGGATGCAAGCAAGATATTTGAATTTTCGAATTTAAAGCAGCGTACTTCAATTGATTCGTTGTCTACGGTCTGTTCCCCCTACTGAAACACCCTGCAATGCATTTCTACTGACCCCGCTGAACCGAATTCGATTCCTCTCCATGCTTTGATTTTTACTTCTGTTGCTGCTTTGCTTTCACTACTCAGCTTTATTTCATTTCCATTAAGCGTACAGTATGGAGCTGATTCCTACAAATCTTTGATTGCGCATCTATCGTACTGTCTCCTTGCTAAACCTTGGTAGACACATTCTGGTACAAGAAAAGCTTCTGTTGAAATGCGCGCACTTTTGAACTATCTTGCAACACTAACGATTGAAAGCTTCATCCAGGTCTAGGAACATCAACATCACGCGAATGTTTTCCTGCTTTTTTCTCATATTTCATAAGACGGGTTTAGGAAAATTCATCATGATAATGACTACGTCATGTTTTCTAATATCCTTATTCGCATAATTTATTGACGAATTGGCTATTTCTGTTCTTGAACCCTACCTAAATTATAACAATATTGGTCTGTAGGGCGAGGTATAATTGCTTGAAGACCATTTATCCCGGTCTGTTGCTCATACTTACGTTGAACGTCATTTCAGAAGGACATGGCTCCGTAGTATTTGAGCAGCTGCAGTACCAGATGCATCTTGCACAATACGGTCGTCTAGGGTTTCCTCACTTTTATGATGTCCTGAGCATGTTCTCGTTATATGCTGCCCCAGCACTTGGACCAATCAGTATTTCAGGACGAATTGTACTGGCCGCAACATTTCATGTTCTCATAGTTTGTTTTAACACAGTGGTGAGGCTGACGAATTCCCTACCCCTGAGCAGACGGGTTCCTCACTTCCGTCCGGTTTATTAACTAAGTTTTCTATCTTTTACGTTGAGATGTGACTTTTGCTGTTTCAGAGAAGAACAAGCTTTTACGGAAAACAGCTGGACAGCGTAGCGTTCACCAGAAATGAGATCGAATACCTCATCAGGACGTGGAAAAGAAACGACCCCAAATGGCGATTCGAAACCGGAAGGGCGATATACTGCCACGTTTTTCAGTTGGCCCCTGAGCTGAAGGCAGTCTTCCCGTACATAATCTGCAATGGAAAAGAAGTGCCAAACTGGAAGGAGTCGAAGCCGTTCGAGGCACAGGTGATGAAATTCGTGGAGGTGATCGAGAAGTCGATCCAGATGCTCGAAAGCAACGAAGGTAACGAGGACGAGTTGTTGCTGCTGCTGTATGAAATTGGTCGAAAGCACCAGAAGTTCTCTAAGCGTGGGTTTCGCTCTGATCACTGGCACTGCTTCCGGCATTCATTGAACGACATCGCGATCCTGGAGGCAAAGAAGTGCGACGGGCTGACCAAGATCGAAAAGATCGAAGTAACGGAGGCATGGAACAAACTGACCAGTTTCATAGTGACAGCGATGGAAAAAGGTTACATGACCAGAGGCCCAAAGTACGATTCCAACAGCACGCTTTGCACTGCCACAGAGTCGACTTGCTAACCTGATCGAATGATAGGAAGTAGATCTTTCAATTTGCTGTGTAATTAATATCGTAAAGTGACTGACTGATTTGAAATCCTTCTGCAGCGTCCATTTATGTTGATTAAACCATATTCGATTACGTCATCATTACCATGACGCTTCAGGAGGTTTTTCTCTATCAGAAAATTGAATTTCTTTCACCAAATAATTTGGAGAAGAAATGATGCAATCGTATTTTTGCGATATCTTTGCAATATTATATATTATAATTCATGCATGTCTTGGTGACTTGAAGGTCATCTAAAACGGAATATAAAGGCTTCCTCAAATTATTACGACTCGAATGCAGTAATGGAATTCCATCCGCCACAATTCCACTTTGATTTTATTCGAGTGATGGATAATCGACTGACAAGCGGAAACAGAAAACACCGGGAGTATGCCCGTTGAGAATCATGTCTCTGATCTTCAACATGCCCTATTTCGACTCATTCTTCAATAGAGCCTATTCTGATGCACTAAAGTTCAATTTTGTGCCATCGGCCAAAAACACATCATCATCTATCTGTGGTGAGAACTGTTTGGAGCCACGTGGCAAGTTCGGCTATGTAGGGTTGTGTTTTGATCCAAAATTATTTGATTTTCAGTGCTTCGAACACACATTGAGTCGTTCAGCAAAAATGTTTCTCGCCATAACGAGCCTTGTTTCGTCCATGCATGGCCAGAATGTAGAAACATGGCACATGTGATATGATGATCAGTTTTTTTTTCGTGTTTTAAATCATCGTTTTCGTACCGTTCGATTAATCCTTTTATTTGTTTATTCGACAGTTTGTTCATTCGTTCATTCGTTCATTCCTCGATTCAGTCCTGGTTGCCACAACATAAAAGTCATTATGTCAGTACACATTTATAAAACGTAAAAGATGGTCGTTGTGTAATTACTCTAAGTCCGTTTCACAAATCATGCTCATCTCTTCCGTGATTCATAAAGCACCTGATGGTGAACTGAATTTACGATCTTCGATGCGTCTCTATGGACGTGTGAATTAATTTTTCACTCACTTACTTATTCATTCATTCATTCATTCACTCATTCATTCATTCATTCATTCATTTATTCATTCATTCATTCATTCATTCATTCATTCATTCAATGCTTCCATATTTCAGTTTCCGTTCCCTCGTGTATTCAGGTTTCCATTCATTCATTTTCAATGCCAATTATTCCATAATCTGAGTTTGGTTCCTCTAGATAAGGGAAATCAGGCTCATGAAGATTTTCTAATGGCCTGGTGCTGATCTATTCATATCCTATGAGCCAGATTCCATGGTACAGTTATACTGTTATTGTTAAGGTCTTTGAGTCGTCTTGAACTAATTATGAGAGCATACGGCTAAACAAATAGCTTCGCATTACTGCTACTTTCTTTTCTCATTCCTACCAGCAGAAGACCGTAGACTGATTACGGTTACTTCTGCTGTTTTGAAATGGATAGAACCCTTACTTCTATGGTATATTTCTCTGCCGAGCGATCTCAAGATCCTTCATAATTTGATTTAATGATCTGCGCACTTGCATATCATGTATAATGCGTACCTGTGGAATTGGAAAAATGCAAGAAAATATTTAAGTCTGTGTTCCTTGACTTCTTTTCAGCGTTTGACTCAGTCGAAAGAGGTAAATTACTCTTTCTGATGTTCACAATGACCTCAACCTCCTACGGGCAATCACGGCGTATCTGTCTGAGAGCATGCAATTTGTACGAGTCACATCTGCCCCATAATAAATTCGCATTTTCCAAAGTTTACTTTTCACCTCACTACCTTTCACGCAGTTCAAGAGCAGATTTACGCTGCAACGATCGCAACTGTATCTGAAACGTGGTGGTCGCAGTACCCCCGTCTTTGCAGTTGTTAGGCACTGTTAAGACTGGACGAGTCTAAGATCGTCACGACAAGTCCTTTGAGCTCACGTGGATTTATCCTTAAGTTGAACGAGTGTGTGCTTATTTCTTAAAACACGCAGAACGACGACCCTGTTGGCCTGGCAAGAGAAGAAACTAATCCAATCCCGACGCTGGTCACCCGGGGACACAGAGTGAAGTGCTTTGGTATGGTCGTTGAAGCCAGGCTAAAACTGTCTGATCCCAAGACATGCGCTATGAACAAAGTGAGGAAAGATAACTTATACCGTGGCAATTTACTCTTGCGTGCAGTCTAATTTGATCTTCGTCGGAGATTTACAAGATTCTGCATAATGTCAGTTATCACTTATGCTTCTCCGCTAAATTTTGGAACCTTAGGGTGAGGTGATCTGATGCTCCTGCGATATAGTGCATTGGAGTTGGAGAATCTCATGACCAACAGTGCGATGCGGACTGGTTAGGAAGCTTTTACCTTCTTCGTTGAATAGACATCGCGAGATGGTAGCCCCTCGTTTCACATGGATTAAACAGCCTGGTACTCTCCCAGTCCCGCTACAAGAAAAAATCTCATTATCTGAAAAACGAGAACAGATCTGTAGAAAATATCATAGCTTCTGCATTTAACTCGAGCCCCTCGTAGATCTCGTTGCTTTGACGCGTTGTCGTCTATTGCTTTCTCTAAGAATTCCGCAATACTTGTCTTGCATAAATATTTTTTATATATGCTAGCGTTGAAAGCAGTGAGAAGCATCCTCCTGCTTAGCATTAATAGATTCTAAATACCACAGATCTGTTTAACCAAAGCGTCACCGTGGTAGCTTGATCGATCGACGCGTCTGTACTCAGTTCTGGTTCGCTGTCACTCACGAATACTACTCAGATGAGTAAAATTCTGTTCCTCTCTCAGGTACGCTTCACTGTGAAAGAAGTTTCCCTCTCGATCATGCTTATCCTGATCCTGGTCTGACTGCATGCCGCAGCAAGAGGATGAAGTGCGCGATCGCAGCGAGCATGACAAGAAACTAGCATCACGAGATTACGTGCAACAGATAACTCAATTTAACATTTCATACTGTGGTTATGTCTGCTGATCGGCTTCATGTAGTCGGTGAAGAGGAATGAAATCTCAGTGGACACCCTTGTCTTAGTCTTTGCCCTCTTGGCACTGACGTGTACCCAGGGAAAGCCAGTAGGTCACTTTCGGAATTTCTTAGCAGCATGATGTGAAGGGCTAGCCATGCCGTCGCCTATCTCTAGTTTTGTCACCGACTGACGGCCAATTGCCGAATAAATGCTTATATTAACCTCCGTCATGTTTGAATCGATTTTTAATGGTCGTTCGGTAATCCTAAGCGAGGACTTGTTTGAATCGATGTTGTTTACCCTACATAGAAACGAGTGCACCTGAACATGAGACACAATCCAAAAAATGACTGGGTGCAACTGGTTCAGATGGCTATATGTAATGAGAAGAGGAAGATTGGAGACAAGCGGAGGTGGATGTTTGGGAGCGTACGAAAACGAAGATTACGACAGCAAGTCACACTCTGAATCCAAGGGCTGACGCGTTACCCCTGGCAGAGTGACGGAGAGATGATTTCTGAGAGTGAAAAGGAGGTGTTATCAGGGTTCAAGAAATGAACGATCAACATTTGAAAGAAACGCTGGAAATCCGTTTCACTGAATACCAAAGCAAACCGTTATATGGCCAGCTTACGAAGAAGAGTGCAGGAAAAATCGACCATATGACTTACTAGAGATGGCTGCAGGAAGAGAAATTGAAGAAGGAAGGAGGAGCACTTGAAGACTCATTTCCGCTGCACAAGAACATGTTTCACGAACAAAAGACCATAAAAGTTGGCAAATGCAGGCCATGCAAAGGAACAGGAATAACCGTGTAGAATTGGATCTCTGAATGCAGCAAGATTTTTCAAACAAGCTACAAGCAACGGAATTACTAGCTAATTGCAGTGCCGCCTTGGAACTCGTGCAAGAAACGCAGATTGCCATCTGCGCAATGATGATGGCAACGTCGAGTAAGTAAGCCGAAGAAAGTCGTGGAAAATGAAAGAGCCAAGCTGCTATGGGATTTCAAGATTAAAACGGATTAGAAGCTGGAGGACAAGATGTCCGATGCGAAAGTGATTGAGAAAGGCCAACCGAGGCTGACTGACATAGCAATACGAGAAGACGATCGAATCGAAAATTAGGAAGTCTAACAAATTACCAGAGACAAAGATCTCCGGTTTGTTGCCAAGTGCATCGCCTGTGGAAAAAGAAGGCAACAGCTCTGCAGAAGTGATTGATGAACTTCGAAGACTTTGAGAGGGCTGGGAAGGCATCTGGTGGACATCGTTATCGATCGAATCATAACTAGACAGCTGCGGCGAACTGTCCTCACTGGAACTTGCCTCACTGTTCGACGATACCCAATCGACTTTTAGATTCTTGGATAGAATTCGAGCCAGTGACGGATCAAACTTTCACTGTGATCACCTGGTGGACTTGTATTAAAAAGTAGAAAAATAAATAACAATCTCAATCGTGATTGTTTGTCATGCCGTGACGATGAGGCTTGACTATCTCTATGATGTAAGAAGCTATGCCAGCGGAAGCTTACACTTTCGGTAGAGACTTCCAAGCTGGACAGGTTTGAGGTAAATGGCCAGACTAAAAAGCAATCATTATTTACCCACTATGGTGAACGATAATAAAAGCACTCCAAAATAGAGGATCGGTCCACGCGACAGTTAACAAGGACCGCATAAGCTGAGTAGAAACTGACGCAGATTGTAATAAGTTTTCGATCAAAACCTGTTTCACGTCCAGTGTCATCTAGAGAAGTGAGAAAGCAATAGTCGAGGGAGGAAAATGCGTAGCTGGTGAGATGTTATTGTTTTTTTGCTAAGAACGGAAGAGGGAGGGGGGGGGCTACTGAGAGAGAAAGGCAAAAGAGTGGCGGCAATTCTTTCCGTTAAGCAATATCAATGAACAAAGTTTAACGGACCACAACAAAGCCTTCAAAAAGCAAACTACTGATTGAATTACAGCTTTAAGAAATCCGACGACATCATGAACAGAATTCTACGG